TGAACTCGTCTGATCCTCAACTATCCTTGGAACTCTTTCGTTTATAGGAGTTCCATCTTCCGAAACAGATGCATGTTTCTAACGCGCCATTACCTATGAAATCGACAAATCTTTAATCGATAGAAGTTGTATCCGAGTAATCTTTAATCGAAATCGAAAAGAAACACAGATACAACATACCTTAGAGAAGAATTAGAGAAGAATTGCAAGTTAGTTATCCTAGGTTGTGCAATTTTTAGAGGGAATTGCCTTAGGTTTGAAATGGAGAAGAAGAAGAAACGTCGTGGTCGTGGTTGGTTGCGGATTTGGTTAAAATCCGATTTAAACGGGTTGGATCAGGTCAATTGCTGGTTGGATCAGTAATTTACTTGAATTTGTTTAGTTTTTTAATCTTTTCTGCCTGTTTTTAGTAAAAAAAAAAGATTGTTATTATTCTCGAGTTATTTGTTATTTTGGTCTGTGAACAAAGGTCATTTCGGGTTTTGATGCCAAACGGATAAACACACAGACCTCAAATTTGAAATCCCTAATTCCAACACCGAAAAACTCCAATCTACGAAATCATGGCGGCAAGCAGCGAAGAGCAGATGAATTTGCTTCTCTCTAGTTTCGATCAGATCTGCGAGGTGATTTTCGCGAAACTCTGTTCCGATCTCTTGTTCTTCGCTTGCTGCTTCCACTATTCTGACTTGTTTCTCGATAGAGGCGGAAAAACCAAATCAAACGAGATTGATTTCGATCTGGAATTCAATCGCTTTCTATCTCCTTCTCCGTTGAAACCGATTGAAAGAGAAATCTGGAAATTGCGATCTGCTCATGCTTTGTCTAACGAGTTTTGTTCAGTCAAATCACCGTTATGAACACTGCTCGTTTCTTTCATTTTTCCTCAGGATTTCAAAAGCGGGATGAATGAGATCAACGTTTTCAGATCAAAGAGCAACGCGGAAACGAGTAGAAGAGAGGCTCTTGAGATTAGTAATAAAACTCTTAAAGAAGGTTTGTTTGATTGTCTTTTAGCTTACTAATTTGCTTTTGAGGTATCTATCAAATTGCTTCACTCGAATGAGGAATCTGCAGAGAATGAAAGGCTGAAGAAGCTATATACGGAATCTCTAAACAATTTCGCTGATCAGGTCGTTTTCAATTGAAAAGCAAGATAAATGCAAGAAGATTTCTCTGTTTCTTCTTCCTAATATCTGATACACTTTCTGTATTGACAATATACAGCTTGAGCATCGAACTAAGTGCCACTGCTTGAAAGAGGAACTGAAGAGAGTGAATGATGAAAGCAAAAGCAAAGAACATGTGAGATTTTACAACTCCGTACATGTCAATTTTTTGTCTGCTTGAAGAATTTCCGTGTGATTTTCCTGGATGGTTTCTAGCTATGATTTTATTCTTGGATAGGCACCAGTCTGTTCTGATATATTTGCAAGCTGTGGCAGGAACATAGGAATACTTTGGAATCTCTTAGGCAGAAGCATGCAACAAAGGTTGAGGAGCTAGAGCATAAAATCAGGTAAAAGCCCTTTCGTAACTATCTGACATGTATCTAAATCTTTTTTGGTGACTACCACAACTTCTACCTACAGAAGCCTTTTGGTTGAAAAGGCAACAAACGAAATGGTAACTGATAGGCTTCGCCAAGACTTGACAGTTAACAAATCACATATTCAAGCAATGTCAAAGAAGCTGGATCGCGTATTTTCTGAAGTGGAATCCAAGTGTAAGACTCAGAGACCTGAGTTTCTTATGTTATATTTATGTTACGGTATACATGTGGCTTCCTAATGTAATAATTTGATAGATGAACTCGAGATTCAGGATCTAAAGGACTGCCTTTTCATGGAACAAGAAGAGAAAAATGATATCAATAACAAACTTCAGAGCCTGCAGAAGGAATGTAAGAGTTTTATCCTCTTCACTAACTTGGTTTCGGGAAGAAAAAAAGCTTTTAGAAAGTGATTTCCTTCTGAAAAAATAAAGGGGTCACTGCCAATTCTGTCTTATGTGAAAATACAATTTATAGAGACGATCTAGTTCCACTAGCAAAACTAAGACTTCACATAACTTCTTAAATCAGAGTATTCAAAACTAACTGTAGGTCCCTTTATATTCTTTGCAGTGCTTATTAGTAGAACTACAATAGCAGAAAAACAGAGGGATACAACTTCAAATCGACAGGTCGAGACATTGAAGCTGAAGCTTATGAAACTGAGAAAAGAGAATGAGATCCTTAAACGTAAACTATCTTCTTCATAGATTAGCCAGGTACTAGACTTTGCTCTACCAATCACATACCGCTCTGTCCCCCAACCAGTAAGTTCTATAAAACCAAACCGTTTTTTATCAGGTTATTCATTAACCTTGTCCAAAAGGTGAAATTCACGTTATTTCTTCTCCTACGTAGATGATAGATTTAAGACAGGAGTAAGACAGGATTTAAGCCACAAAGCCAGAAAAAGAAGTGAATAGAAAAATTAAAATATAGTCCACGCAGCACACAAATCAATTTTTAGGGGAAAACAAAACATGATAGTGGAAAAGCATACTTTCCGATTGATTATTTGTTAGAAAAATGAAATAAAAAATATAGGACTTCTTTGTCTTATGATCTCTCCATGAATTGAGGTAAAGAAAGTGTGGAATCAACGTCCGTTGTTGAAGACTCTGCAGTTTCTCCTGATCTCTCCAGAACGTCCCGTAAGAACTCTTATGGTACCCATTTTCACCATTGCTTGGGCAAATCTCTGTCTAAAGAGTGTATTGCTTGATGCAAAACTCGACACGATTCCACGGGTTGATCTGTCGAGACCCAAGTTTTGATCAATTCTTAGGATTGCTCTCTGTCTTCGGATCTCTCCGTAGATTGCGTTATCCACGATAAATGGCGTCCTTTGGTCCAAGAACACCGATGGATCATTTGGAGCACGGCATGTGTTCCTCAGCCTTAAGAGATGTATTAATTGTTGGTCATATATTTCTTTTGATGTTCATTTGAATTTGATAAGATATATTTTCGAATGAGCCAAAGCATTTGCGTACCTAGCGTTCAATGAGCGGTCCATTGCTGGGTCAGCAAGCCTATCTTGGAAGAGACTGCAATGAGCAATACCGACGCTGTGGCCACCACCAATAAGCGTAACCATGTCATTCGTATTCATACCTTGAGCTGCAAATAAATTGATGGATGCAGCCACCGGAATTGTTGGTCCGGGCAAGTTCACATCATTGGGGCTTGACCTTAATCCGTCACGTCTTCCTGTTGGTACTAAGTATCTTGGACCACCAGCTAATGCAACCGAGTCTCTGGTGGCTAGAGTTACAATGTCTGCGCATGAGACAGTTCGAGGACATGCAGCCTCGAGCTGTCTCTTGGCCTCATCAATGATCTCGTAGCCTCTCACACTTGCATTTGGTCCGGTGCTTTTCTCTGATGGCCTTCCGGGTCTTGGGTCGATCAAGAGGGAAGCATCACAACCCTACATGGAAATTCAAAACATTACATGATCAATGTTATGTCTAGATATTAGCAAGTCAATGAACATATACAAAAGGAGAAGCTTACGTACCCTGACAAAACAATCATGAAACTGCATACGAAGCAATGCTGCAGTAATGCTACGGTCACGGCGGAAACGGTTGGCGACAACATTAGCAACAATAGTTTCGGCTCGGGGACATGACCGGCCATAGAACCCAGATCGCAGTTGCGCCAAAGCAGAGGGAGCAAGGAAACAGAAAAGGAAAAACAAAGCTGTGATCGACCTCATTTCTTATGATGAGCTCTTCCTTGCCTCTCTCGTGAAATCTTAGAAACACTTTTGGATTGTGTTACTTCTAAGTTTTGTTGTTGAAACTATAAGTGCCCGTAAGATCCATATTTATATGTAAGCTTGAGGACAGGACATTGGCAAATTAAGAGAATATTTCAATTTGCAGACGTGCGTAAGGTGAAGGTACAAATCCGGAAGACATTAGCAGTTGATGTTTGTGCTTTAATATTGTTCCATAAAAATGTTAAGAGTTCGTCCTCCACACGTCAAAAGATTTGATTATGACCAACTTGGAATATATTTTGAACAATTTGCGTCCAACGTTCACTCAATTTCGAAAGGACCGAAAGGTTACATACCATTTCTATTTCGCGAAGTGGGTTTTGTTTAGTGCTTCTGACTTATTAAAGAAAATGAAAAATCATTCTAAACCACACCAATTATTGGCTAATATGTTACAAACCATTTCAACTATAGAAATGTGTTCTAAACTATATAGACTATTATATAATACATGGTGACATATTACAAGTATATGTAAACATGTTAAAAACTACAAATTTGATAAATATTCATTAATTTGGGGCCAATTTGTAATTATTTTCATAGAATAACAATTTTTTAATGAAAATCCCAA